TGATGATGATGATGATGATGATGATGATGATGATGATGATGATGATGATGATGATGATGAGGAGGAGGAGGAGGAGGAGGAGGAGGAGGAGTAGGAGGAGGAGGCATAGGAGGAGGAGGAGGACTAGGAGGAGGCAGAGGAGGCGGATGATGATGAGGAGGAGGAGGAGGCCTTTAAGGAGGAGGAGGCCCCCTCAGGGCTCCGTAGAGATACCACGGGTAAGTAGATAGATGAACCATGCCTTCCTGAGCCTCCCATCCACATTGTCGCGGGGAGTTGTCTTGAGGCCTTATGTTGAGTGTGTGTTTAGGGCTGCTCCGCATCATATTTTGACGAGCTGCCAGCGACAGCGAAGCGAAGCGAAGGAGGAATAACAGAAGGTCCCAAAGGCTTCAGAACATCCTCGCCTTTGCGGGTCCGTCTTCTGCGGGTTTTGCGCCCTTACCGAGACAGATTAAGAGGGGCGGCGACGACGCCGCCGCCGCCGCCGACGCCGACGCCGACGACGACGACGACGACGGCTTACGACGAGAACGACGGCGACGACGACGACGACAACGACCACGACGGCCGCGACGACCACGACCACGACGGCGACCACGACCACGACCACGACCACGTCCACGACCACGACCACGGCTACGGCCGCGACCACGACCAGGACCACGACCACGACCACGACCACGACCACAACCACGGCGACGGCGACGACGACGACGACGACTACGACGACGACCCGCAGCCTTTTCGGCCCAAGCCTCTCTATAGAATCCACGAAATCATTTCCAGTGTGCTTTTTGGCCCCATGGGTTTCGTCCAGCCACCCCATTGCGACAATTGCCTTCCCTGAGCACGTGGGCTCCGACGCCCCGTGCTGCCACCCGCGCCACTTCAAGGTCGCGCTGAGGCGGGTGGGTGCGTACTCCAAGGGCCGCTTCCCAATGCTCGATCGCGTGTGCCGCTTCTACAAGCAGTGGAGGCCGGCGCTGGCGCAGTACCGTGGAGTCCCTGTGGAAGAGGCGAAGGTGGATATTATCAAGATCTTATATGGGGCCAGGCCCGTGGCCCAGATACCGTGGCTCCTCCAGCTCAGCAGCGAGGTGAAGGTCGGCGTGGCGGCCGTGCTGACGCACCCCGAGTTCGCGGCCTACCGGCAGTTGTACGCCGACAGACCGTCTCCCGATTACAGTCGGATGGCGGCCGTTCTGTCCCAGGTGGAGGACGACGCCTTGATGGTCCTCACCGACCACATCCACCGCCTGGCCGCCACCACAAGCGAAGTGCTGCTGTTTGACGGCTGCCTTGCGCTGGCGACGTGCTTCCAGCAGGAGGCCCTGGTGCGGATGGCTGTGGCCAAGGCGAACGAGGTGTCCTGCGCCGAATTCGCCATCCAGTCCTGGTCGAGCCCCTCGTCCGATCGCCTGGGCGTTGCCGTCCTGCACGGCTGCGGGTCCGAGGTTTCTGTCCTCGACACCCCCGTGCCAGACCAGGGCAACTCCCCCCTGGCGGCGGCGTGGTGGGCGGGCATGAACACCGCCATGGCGGGCCTCTCAGGGGATGACCTGGCAGCCCCCACAGTGGATGAGGTCAACGACCATGCGCTATACAGCTCCCAGCAGAGCAATGCCGTCGTGACCATTTTCGTCTCCGTGGACCCGCACCTCATGTTCGAGGACGTCCGCTGGCCGCTTACTCGTTCTCGTGGAGGACCCGTCCCGCGAGGGCACGCCGACGCACGTCTACGGCCTGCGGTATAGCGGCGGGGGGCCGGGGCTCTTTGACCCCGCGGCCCCCGCGCTCGTGCAGGTGATGCGGGCTGAGTACTTCCGTAAGAAGGCCCAGGGCCGCAACCCCGTCTGCTGCATGAGTGACCGCAGGGCCGCCCCTGGGGCAGCCTCCGCGCGCGCGCCCCTCTGAGGAGGCCCGGAACTTAGGTAGCGAGGCCATCCCCCCTCTCTACCTTCCTCCCTGCTCTCTCTCTCTCTCTCTCTCTCCCTCTCTCTCTCTTTCTATGTCTCTCTCTCTCTCTCTCTCTCTCTCTCTTTTTTTTTCTCTCTCTCTCTCGCTCATTCTTTTTTTTTTTGTTTGGAGGGAGGGGGGGAAGAAGGGGGGGGTTCTCTGGATCTCTCTCTCTCTCTGTTTCTTCTCTCTCTCTCTCTCATTCTCTCTCATTCTCTCTCATTCTCATTCATTTTCCTTCATTCTCTCGCATTCTCTCTCTCTCTGTCTCTTTCTCTCATTCTCTCTCATTCTCTCTCATTCTCTCTCATTCTCTCTCATCCTCTCTCATTCTCTCTCATTCTCTCTCATTCTCTCTCCCCCCAACTACCCCTCATTTCACCTTCTCTCCTTCTCTTCTCATCCCAAAAATCTCTCTCATTCTCAGATCCTCATTCCTCGTCTCCTTTCTCTCTCATTCTCGATATCTCCTCTTATTCTCTCTTATTCTCTCTCATTCTTTCCTCATTCCTCTCTGTCATTCTCGTCTCTCTCCTCTCTCTCTCACTCCTCTCATCTCTCTCACTTTTTTTTTTTTTTTTTTTTTTTTGTTTTTTTTTTTTTTTCTCTCTCTCTCATCTCTCTCTCTCTCTCTCTCTCTCTCTCTCTCTCTCTCCCCCACAACCCCCCCCCCCCCCCCAAAACCACCCCCACCACCCCCCCACCCCCCAAACACCCCCCCCCGCCAAAATCTCGATTATCTCTCTCTCTCTCTCTGCTCTCTCTCTCTCTCTCTCTCTCTCTCTCTCTCTCTCTCTCTCTCTCTCTCTCTCTCTCTCTCTCTCTCTCTCTCTCTCTCTCCCCCCCCCCTCTCTCACCTCTGCCACCTATTGGCTAACCCTCCCACCGCCTCACCATCCCCCCACCCCATATCCGGCGCCCCGCTCTGCGTCGTTGTTGCCCTGCGTTGGTTTTTTTCCAAGGCGTCGGCGACGCATGCCGCTGCGTTCACTTGTCCGCCGGGCTTCGCTGTAATTCGCGGGCCTTGGAGAGAAGAACACACACCGGCGCGCGTGTTGTTCGTTTGCTTGGGCGCCAGTCGAATTCCGCGCGGTTCTTCGCAGGGTCTGTTCTGTCCAGCAGGCGGCTGTTGTATTCCACTATATCCAGCCAGCCGCCGAGCTTCGCGGTAGCGCGCGGGCAATGGGATGAACGGGCGTCAGTTGCGTGAACACCAGAACGCTGGGACATTGCAACTTCGCCAGCGGTTCTTTGCTTTTGCACGCTTTCGCTTGCGCGTCCGGCGCTGGCACTGCGATGGGCGCAGTTTGCTCGCGTGTGCATTGATTCTGCAGTCCCACCCAATTGAAATATATGCTCTGTCGTCATTCATCGGAGGCCGTCGGGCGGCATCCTACATAGCCAGATCGCCCATCTTGTAGCAGAGTCCGCTCGCCCCCCTTGCCGAGCGGCCCACTCTCAGAAACCGACCCGAGATCGAGTCGCCATCGCAGGCGTTCTGGCTCAAGATCGCCAGGCATTGCCGGGCCGACCGCGCCGTCTCGCCCGCTCCCTCGGGCGGCTTCGCGGCCAAAGCCGCCCATGGCGAACCCCCCCGCAGAGCAAGACTCACGGCGGATGGTCTTGTCGAGGGAGGAGGTGAAGCCGCGCGCAAACTACCAGAAGCCTTCCCAGAACGCCGAGGAGAAGATGGGCTCCAAGACTGTGGAGAAGAACCAGCCCTCCAATATTCTCGTGGAGGACGAGGCCCAATCTGGGGAGGAGCTGCAGAAGCGCGTCGTGCACGCGCCCATCGAGCCGCAATTCATCGCCGACCCATCGGTCTCCTGAGGCCGCCTGGCTCTCGGGGTCGCCGCGCGAGTCCGACGTGTGATTTTTGTCCCCGCTCCTACGCCAGCCCCACCCCTCTCCTTTCCTTCTCTTCGCAGCTCTCGAATGCGCTTGGAGCCGCCCGTCGAGTCTTGCGCAGAAAAAACAAGATCAGCGGGCGCAGTGGTTCGCCGATTCGGAGCACCCGTCGTCGCCCCCTGCCGCGTTGCCCCGCTCCCGCCCGCGCGTCCGAGGCGCCCCCCCCGATGAGGGGGGATGGGTCCGCCTCCAGAAATCTGCCAGCGTAAATCTGGGGGTTGTTGGCGCCCCCCCCCATTGCAGCGCAAGGTCGCTCTTCGGGTAGCGGCGTCTACGCGCCCCAGGCAGCTCGCGTTCGTAACCCGTTCGCCGTTTTTTTTGGCTCGAGACAGGTGCAGGACCGATATCCCGCCGCGGGGAAGGAGAGGCAAGCCGCCCTGTCCATCCTGGAGTTCTTGCGCGATGGCGCGCGGATCGCTCGCCGCCGACTCCGCCGCGGTCTACAAGAACGTGGGGCAGTTCAAGGCGGCGCTCGACAAGTTTGCATTCGTCAACAGGGCGCAGTTCCTGCGGGTGGTCAAGGACGGGGCCATAGAGGGCACCAGCCCGTGCCCCAACATCCCTTCCACACGGGCTCTTCCGTTCGCGCAGCACTTCGGTCTCGTGGAGAACGAGTGTGAGTGCTCCCGCTGCGGGGCAGACTCCAGCCTCTGCCTCCAGAACAACCGCGGCGTTCCTGGCTGGCGTTGGCGCGGCCCGCGGTACGACGACGCGTGCGAGTGCTGCAGGGGCAGGGAGAAGCGCGTGGGCGTCGGGGGCTTCTTTGATGGCGTTGACGGGTCGAACTGGCTGAGCAAGCTTGACGCCATGATGATGTGGGTGCTCGGCTATGACCGCGGCACGATCGTGGAGGGGGAGAGGGAGTCTGAGCGCACCTCCCACCGGACCGTCGAGCGCTGGACCGACGAGTTCCAGCGGGCTGCTTGCAAACGCGTCGATGAACCTGCGGCCTTCGAGACAAAGCGCCGCGGCCAGGCTTCGAAGAAGAGGGAGCTTCCAATGAAGGGGCCCATGAAGAAGCCCACGAGGGGGCGCATTAAGAAGCCTCCAATGAAGCCCAAGTTCGCGAAGCAGGCCGATGGGGAACGCGGGGCGCGGTGCGCGGGTGATCATGGCCGACGAGGCGTTCCCCGACAAGGAGAAGAGGAGCAAGCTCAACAGGAACGCTCGGCCAAAGAAGGATCAGGTATGGCTGCGGGGGGGCCGTGCTGCAAGGAGGCTCCAATTCGTTCGTCTTCCGCGTGCTGGGCCACCCCGCGGGCGCCCTGGGCGGCCGCCCCCGCGGCGCGAAGGAGATGGTGGCGAACCTCAGGCTGATCGGGCTCAGGAAGGACGACGTCTTTGCGAGCGACAGGTGGGGGGGGGGGGGGGGGGGGGGGGGACGCCGTGGCGGCCGCCAAGAGGCTCCGCGCAGAGAACGGCTGGCCGCGCACCCGGCCGCCGCACGAGATCGTCAACCATCCGGAGGGCGAGGTCGCGGGCGCCAGCGGGTACTCCGCAAACGCCATCGAGGCGAAGCGGGGCGTGGTGAAGCGTTGGATCCGCTCTAAGTGCGGCGGGCGCCTTCCCCAGCACCATGTCCGCGACAAATGGAGGAATCTGTTTGAAGGAGTTCCAGTGCCGCAAGACCCACGGAGACTCCTCCCGCGACTAGGGGCATTCGTACAAGATCCCCGTGAAAGTCTTCCTCGCTCGCGTCGCCGAGCATTGAGCGCAGCCGCGCCGATCCAGGCTCGCCGTCGGGGGGGGGGGGGGCGCCCCAGCGTGCGTGAGTTCGTTTGCTTGGGCGCCAGTCGAACTCCGCGCGGTTCTTCGCAGGGTCTGTTCTGTCCAGCAGGCGGCTATTGTATTCCACTGTATATCCAGCCAGCTGCCATGCTTCGCAGTAGCGCGCGGGCGCTGGGATGAACAGATTTCTGTTGCGTGAGCGCCAGAACGCTGGTAGATTGCGCGCTCGCCGGCGATTCTTTGCTTTTGCACCTCTCGCTCGCATGCCCAGCGCTGGCAATGCGATGGGCGCCGTTTGCTCGCGTGCACGTTGATTCTGCAGTCCCACTCGCTCGAAAAATAGGCTCTGTCGTCATTCATCGGAGGTCGTCGGGCGGCCTCCTCCATCGCCAGATCGCCCTTCGTGTAGCAGCTCCCGCTCGGCCCATTGCCGATCGGTCCATTCTCAGAAACCGACTCGAGATCGAGGCGTCGTGGGCAGTAGGGAGTGGGGAAGAGGGAGGGGGGTCAAGGGCAGAGCGGGCGCATGCCGCCCCGACACCAGAAGCACGCAAATGACGCGCGGCCATCAAGAAAACAAGAATCACAGTTTCGCAGGGGGGCGATTCGAACCTTGAACCCTTTTCACCATGGAAATTGTTCCAAACTTTTGAAGCGAATGTGCGCGGCGCTACGGGGAGAGGCACATTTGGAAAGCCATTCAGGCGAAACGCCCTGCCCGCCCTATCATCACGTCTGGGGGTGCTACAGGGAGATTTTTAAATACAATTACATAAAAAAGGAACATGGATGGGGAAGCAGGGGTAGGAGGATGACTAGCGTAAACCCAAGACGCGTCAACGATGTTGCCATCTGCCTTCCCTCCAAGATTCCTTTTCGTAGGTCCCTACAAGTAGTTTTGTAAAGGTTGCCGCCTGTGCCGCCGACCCCAATTGAGCGACGTATGTTTGATTCGTTTGTTGTCGGGGTGCCTTTCCGAGTGCGGCAGGAAAGGTTCAGGTGAGACATCCAGGCCTGAGTCTCGCCCCCTGGACTCATGATTCTCTGTTGCACATCGGACTCCTCTCTATCGAATAGCCTTCCCGCCTCTGTGCGTAGGTTGTAGGTATGAAGCCAACTGGATGTCCGTTGGGATTTCGTGGTGGACCTTTTTTTGGGGCCTCTTGGGGGCAGTTTTGGAGCCTCGTGGGGCCGCTGTTGGGTCCCTTGGGGGCCTCTTGTAGCCTCTTCAGGCCTCTTGGGTGCCTCATGGGGCTCTTGGGGCCCTCTTGGGGGCCTCTTGGGTTGTCCTGGGGTGGTATTGGGGACCGCGGGCCGTCTGGGAGCGTCGGAAAGGAAGCAGGCGAAAACGCCGACATGTCTCAAACAACGGAGGCCATTCAATGGTTTTTGCCTCTGAGGGTCCCCTTGGGAGGCATCTTCGAGGCCTCTTGGGGCATCTTGGAGGCCTTTTGGGCCATCATGAGGCCATGTATAGCGTCTTGGGGCGATTGTTGGGCGTCTCGGGGCAATCAGGGGCCGTCGTGGGCCTCTTTGGGCCCTGTTGGCCCGTTTGGGGGCCCCGACTGCTCCGGAACAGTCACGCGAGAAACTGCGAGAAACCCCGGAGAAGATTTCGCGATGTGGGGTCTAGGTCTCTGAACTACTCCTCAGGAGTGAAGAGTGAGGTTGAGAGGGTGATGGAAGGACCTGAGGGCACGCCCACTCCGTGCCCACAGGCACGGTGGCGGATCTACATATGATGATGGTTCTGACGGATCGCATCGCGTTTCCGAGCTCCAGTGGGGGAGCCGCCTGGGGGTATTTCAAGTTTTTTTTGGTTGGAATCGTGGGGGGTGGCAGTGACTCGTGTCAGCGGTCGGTGGATTGGGCGAGGTGGCAAATATTATCCAGGAGCAGCGATGGCCCCATCCCCGAAAGGGAAAAATGGGGTTGGACAAGGAATCGCGATGGACCATCTCCTGCCCGGGGGGAAGGGGGGGGGGTTGAGCTAGGAGACCCCATGCGAGAAGTTGTCCAGGTCGGTTTCGGCGAAGCCATCATCGTTATTTTGGGCCTCGAGATGCTGCCTGCGAGGCCGTCTGGTCGGTCTCGCCTCAGACATCCCTGCAAGTGTGGGCTTCGAGATGACATCCTCGCCGCTGTCCTGAGGCGGTTCAGCCCTTTTGGCTTGAGACTTCATTGCAGTTGTGGGCTTCGAGGCTCGCGAGAGGACCATCCAGCTTCCCCCCCACACACACTCGCAACTCAGGGCCCATGGATGCCATGACCTGAGCTGGTCCAGCCAGTTTCGCTTCACACTTCGCCACAGCTCTGGGTTCGGATATGACCTGGCCTGAGGTCGTCCAGCCATCTTCGCCCGATGCATCCTCGTTATTCTAGGTTAGTCGATGCTCTTGCCTCAGGGTATCCGAGCCCGTTTCCTTGTTGTTCTGGGTTTGCAGTTGCCGTGGGCTGATCGTTTCGCTTGAGATCTCCTTGCAACTCTGGGTTTATGTACTTATGTCCTCATCTCACGTGGTCCCGGTCCTCTTCGCCTGGGACATCGTTGGGGTTTGTGCTTTCGGGGATGCCCACACCTGAGGTCCTGAGGTGGTTCAACCAATTTCGCCCGAGATCTCCCTTCTCTGGGCTCAGAGATGTCCTGTCAATGCTGTCGTCGATGACCCATTCGACAATTTGTGTCACTTGTCAGATGAACACTCGGGGAGACTGGGACCCTCCTTGTTGCCAGACTCGGGGAGACTGAAACCCTTCTTGTTGCCAGACTCGGGGAGACTGGAACCCTCCTTGTTGCCAGACTCGGGGGGACTGGAACCCTCCTTGTTGCCAGTGGCAAATATGTCAATCGGGGCCACTTGTCAAACGGGCGAGGGTACTTAGCTGGGCATTGCATGAGGCGAGTTGCCCGTCCTCTGCCGATGGGATTTTTGGAGGAACTGGTTTCATACGCTAGTCACCCAAAGGGGTGGGTGGATTTTCCTTGCCTTAGATGCTGTGCGGCACTTCGTCGGAGGGGAGGGCCGACGTTACCCCAGCAGCCAGACTACTGCTGCTGCACCGCGCCTTACCTTCGCAACAAAAAATGAGATCATTTCGCCTTCGAGGCCGGCGGGTTCGGAAGTCATGGGGCGTCGCGTCAAGTTCGCGGGAGTGGTCAGTGATATGCCAGCACCAAGCTTGGCCAAGCCTTCCATGGGTTTTCGCCAGTGGTCCCTCAGAGGCTGGCCAACTTAGGAGCTTCGATTCCTGGCCGATCTGACTCTTGGATTCCAGTTTTGGTCAGATCCGCCGAGGGCCATTGAGATGTAGATCGATCCAAAATGTGGACTCGAATGGTGAACCTCTTGCCTTCGGCGAAAGCCACCGCAAGTAGAACGAGGACGGTGCCGCTGGTGGAAACTTGGCGGAAATTGGCGGAGGAACAGTGGGAGACTCCATGAGGTCAATGCTGGCTTCCCAAGAATTTTCGGAGGTTGCCAGCTGTCGTCCGACCGTTTTGGCTGTCGTTTCCATGATGCGGGCTGTGGACAAGCCCTGCGCCGAACTCGGTCGTCCAATTTGCTGACGGTCAGGCTCACTTCGCGTTCTCAGACGGCCCAAGAGGCCCCTAAGGCCGTCCCAGGACCGCCTCAGACGCCCCCCAGAGGGTGCCAATGTAGCCCCTGGTGGCCCAAAGACGGCCCTCGAAGCGCCCCTGAGGCGTCCGAAACGGCCCTGAGACGGACCAAGATAGCTCACATAGCCCCCGACGGTTTCCAAGAACGCCCCCAACTGCTAGCAGCCGCGCTCAACACTCCCCAGGCGGCTTCCACGCGGCCCACACTTGCTTCCCAGACGTCCGAAGATGCACCGAAGAGCACCGAGGGCCCCATGGCCAAGGAAGGCTCTTAGAGAGCTCCAACACCAATGCAGGTTAAGTCACTGATGATCATCCTGGTAATGATGTCGACGATTGTAGTGATGACGATGTTGATGATAATGATTGTTTAGCTGCTCATGACGGTGATGATGTTGATGATGATTGCTATCCTTTGGGGCTCGCATCCTTCATGATGATCTGTATATGTGACCTCCACTGTACTTTTGTTTGGCCTCCGGGACGCTTATCGCCATCACTGGCCGGGGCTCGCCCCAGGGAGTCGCTCGGGGTTGCGCCCGGGAGAAGTCCGGGGGGCCGAGGAGTCTGGAGGGTTGTATCCGCTTGTAGAGTCGTCGTGGGGCTCGCGCGGGGATCTTGGGAGGCTTGTGGAGCCCTCTTCGGACGATGTCGGGCGTTCACGTGCGAAGTGTTGCCTTGCTAAGATTCGCCTTCTGTTGCCGAGGGTGGGGGGTCTTGAGAACATCACGCAAGGAAGGTCCAGAAAGGTGGAGGTGTCAGACGTGGTGGGTGGCGCGGTGGGGGCCCCGGTGTGTGTGTTTTCGTATTGTGGAGGGCTCCTAAAACAGTTCGCAAAGAAGGTCCAGGAGGATGGAGGTGTCAGTCGTGGTGGGTGGCGCACTGGGGCTCCTGGCGCGTATTTTCGCAGGGTGGGAGGTCCCTGAAACAGCATGCAAAGAAGGTCCAGGAGGGTGGAGGTGTCAGCGGCGGTGGGTGGCGCGCTGGGTGGAATTTTGTTTCATCCGCTTTTGTTTCGTCCGCTTCTCTTTCGTCCACTTTTGTTTCGTCCGTCTTCTGTTTCGCCCGCTTTTGTTTCACCCGCTTTTGTTTCGTCCGTCTCCTGTTTCGCCCGCATTTGTTTCATCCGCTTTTGTTTCGTCCGCTTTTGTTTCGTCCGCTTTTGTTTCGGCCGATTTTAGTTCGTCCGCTTCGGGGGATGAAAACCGGATGAATTTACAGCGGACGAGTTAAAACCGGATGAAGTTTAATTGGATGAATTAAAACTGGACGAGTAAGGCCAGAGGTTTTCAAACGGGCGAGTTAGAACCGGATGTATTTAATTTTGACATATGATAACCGGGTGAATTAAAACGGACGAATTGAAATCGGATGAACATGAACCGGGCGAAGTAACACCGGATGATACAACGGGCACATTCAGACCGGATGAATTTAAACCGGGCGAGTTAAAAGTGGATGAATTCAATTAGTTGCGAGCGACGAGCGTTTTAAGCAATTGGGTTGCTAAAATTGTTTTCGCCTTCTTTGGTCAAGTGGTTGTTGCGAATTACCAAGCGCGGCACTAGGGCACCACGAGGGGATCCATCCGCCAGGGGCCACGGCCCTGCAGGATTCGCGTCAAGATTGCGCGCGGGCGGTGTTTCAGGCGATTCGTTTTTTGTTGCCCTTCTGCATTTCTGTTTTTCGGCATCTCTGCAGGAGGAGGACCATGACGACGAGTAGGGATGAGGATGGAGGAGCAGGAGGAGGAGGACGAGGAACGACCAGACGAACATGTGAGGCGGCGACGACGACGATCGAGGAGGAAACAATATCGCTGATCATTACCCCACATTTTTTTGCCTCGTTGTTTTTTGTCTCCTGGGAGGCCCTCGTCGCCACCGCTGGATTCTCGTAGGAATTAGGATCGGAACGCAACGCTACGCGCGCCTCGTTGAGACTGTTGCGAGGAGAGAAGTTGGACTGGGATTCGATCGAGATGGAGTTCGTGCCGTCGGGGAGGTGCGCGCTGTGCGCGTCACTGAAGTACAAAACCCAGTATGGTTTCGGGCAGTGGAGTCGAGATGATGCTATCCGCGTGTGCAACCTGTGCCTGGAACGGAAGAAGAGTGTTGGCACGCCGTGAGAGTGCATGGCGTGCGGTCTGTGGAAGGGCCAGGATGCCTTTTCACCCATTTCAGCACCGCAGCTGTAAGCTGACGTCGCGGCGTTGCGTCGATTGCCCTGAGAGGCGGAACTGTCTTTCGTGCGAAGATCGTAGTGCGAAAGGGCCTTTGCGCTGTATCAATGGGGAAGAAGGCAGGGGACGCTAGTTGCAGAGGGGGGATGCGCGCATAATGCGGCGAGCTGAAGCGGAAGCTGAAGTATTGCCGCTGCGGGCAAGAGGATCTGACGACCGACTTCGCAAGGGCGGATTGGAGTGTGGAAGAATAGCTATGTAAAGAGTGCGAGGATGGAGCGCGAGACGAGAAGGCGCTTCCGTGCGCCAGGTGCGGCCAGAAAAAAGATCGCGGTGAGTTATCGGATGCCGTGTTGGAGAAAGTGGCTGTCGCGGAACGGAAATGCACAGTGTGCGTGTGCGCGGGGCGAGTAGAGCAGCTTGTGCGAGCGCTGAGTGCCGTCACCGCCAGCTCGAAGAAAGAGGCGCGGGCGCGCTGCGCATGCGATATGCCAAAGACAGAGCCGGATGGACGTGGAGCAAAGCTTCCGCGGCGAAGCGAAAGTGACGGGCTTGCGTGACGTCTGCGAAGGCGCCGCGCGGGTCGTGGAAATGCATTGCGTGCGCCGCGGCGCTGCCAAAAAAAGTGTTCGCGCGATGGCTGGCCGGGCGGTCTGAGTCGAAGCCGAGCGGGAAGCGGCGCTGCAATTCATGTGATGAAGTGGAACGCGGAGGGGAGAGACGCATTCGGGAGGGGGGCGTCGCGGCGTTGCTTCGCGCGAAGCGCGCGCGTTGAGCGCGGGCGGCGGCGGACGAAGGAACGCGAGCGGGTAATTGCATTTGTAGGTTGGGGAGGTCTTGGGTTGCATCGGGGCGAGAAACAAGGGGGTGGCGCATGTCAGGGGGCGGGGTGTCCGAGGGGGGGTAGAAGTGTGGGGGGGGGGGGGGAGTTGGGGCGAAATTTGCGTGGTAAGAGGCGGCGTGTCAGGCGATGGCGCTGGAACGGCGAGGGGTCCAGGCCAAAATTGCATGGTGGATGGGCCCTGGCTGGAACGGGGGGGGGGTGGCAGGGGCCAGAATTGCATGGTGGGGGGTCCCGAGAACATTGCCCCGATGGAACTTCACAGGGAATGGTTTGCCAGAACGGGGGGCTCGCCCGGGGAGGTGCTGGGGCCAAAATTGCACGGTGGGGGGTCCCAAGAACAATTTCCCGACGCGGCCTCTCAGGTGCTGGGGTGTCGGACGGGGGGACTGGAACGGGAAGGGGCCGGGGCGAAATGGAATGGTGGGGGTCCGAAGAACAGTGGCCCGATGGGGCTTCTCAGGGGATATGGCAGACGGTGGGGCTGGAACGGGGGGGGCGGGGGGCGTGATCGAGTGGTGGGGGGGGCTCCGAGAACAATGCCGCGATGGCAGTTTTCAGGGGGCGTGATGTCAGCGCAGTGTGCGCGAACGCGGGGCGAGTGGAGCAGCTTGTGCGAGCGCGGAGTGCCGTCGGCGCCAGCTCGAAGAAACAAATGCGGGGGTCCTGTGCGTGCGAAGTGTCAAAGACAGAGCCGGAGCTCTCGCCGTGGACGTGGGGCAAAATTTCCGCGGCGAAGCGAAAGTGCCGGGCTTGCATGGCGTCCGCGAGGGGGTGCGCACGTCCTGCGGCGGGGTTTACCGAGGGGGGGTGGGGGGGAGAGGGGGGTTTGGGGGGCGGAAGTTGCGTGGTGGGCGGTCGGAGGAACAGTAGTCCCCATGGAGTTTCTCAGGAGGCGGCGCGTCAGGCGAGGATGCTGGACTGGCGAGGAGCCGAGGCCAAAATTGCATGGTGTACCGGCGACGGCGACGGCGACGACGACGATGGCGACGACGACGTTGACGAAAAACCGAAGAGCGCCTCCCACACGCCGACGGGGTTGGCGGAAGAGGAATGGCAGGACGAGCAACGATCCGTCGGATATATATATATATATATATATATATATCTATATAATATACACATACATATAAAAAACGCGAGCATGTCTGGTGCCGCCGCAGTTGAAGCCTGGCCGACGACGCGAAGTCAATGCGACGTCGCGAACAATCACGACGGGAGCTCCAGAACCTATCGGGCTGCGGCATGTGTCGAGCCAGATCGATCTGTGATGGTCCAAGAGTCCGAGTCCGCGCGAGAAAGCCCAGCGTGAAACTTTGTAACGTCTCTAAAGATCCGATGTGCGGTTATGATGCTCCAACCTACTGTAGCCCTGACCACCAGAAATAATCTCGAGCACCCTGATAAGTACCGCATCTCGAGGGTTTTCACGCGTCGGGCCTTGGAAGGCGATGCTCGTTCGACGCTGTGTCGACACTTTTTTTGGGGTGCTCGGCAAGTCTTTCTGGGATGCGGCCCCTAAAAAAGTGCGATGGGAGCCACGTGCACGTATGCCTTTTTCCCAGTGCGGGGGCCGCTGCGGCCTCGACCCGCGGCCCCCAAAAGGGGCCAGCTTCCCATCCCGAGCCACGTTTATTGGACATTCCCGGGGGGGGGGGGGCCCGCGAGGGAGCCCGCAGGCCGTCCCACGACGAACAGGACGCCGCCCCCAGTCTCTCAGTATCTTGGAGGTCTGGGCTCGGCCTCGGTTCGATTCCCCCGATTCGATGCGGTCCGATCTCGCTGGGTTCTGATTCCGATTCGAGTCGACCTGGGATTCCGATTCGGGCTCCGATCTCTCATTGGAGGCATGTTGGCCTGCCGATTCCCGCAGGTTCGACTTTTCCCGACTCGGCAGCCGATTTTTTTCCGATCCGATTCGTTTCGATTGCCGATGCGATTTGTCGATCCGCTTCCGGGTTATCCTGGGATCGTGGGGGACGACGGCGACAACGCTCATCCACGCGCGCAGGGGGTGAGAGGGAGGGGGGACGGCTTCTTAGAAGCACCCCTGCTTCTAAGAAGGCGCGGGCCTTTCCTGTAGATGTAAGGCCAGCGCCTTCTGAGAAGCAGCCTCCTTCCAAGACGTCTCCCCCCCTCCCCCAACCCCATTGTGCGCGCCGTTACAATATCAATGGCCAAGCCTCCGTTGATGCTCCACTGGCCTCCAGACCCTGGATTCGGTGTCACCCCAGCATGATATACACATATAGCGGCGCACCAGGCCCGGGGGCCCAGGGCCAGAACCTCGACCACAAATGTGGGCCCCGGGGCCCCGGCCCGCCTCTGGGAGGCTTAAAATCGCCCCAGGGAGCCCTCAGACAGCAATCGCGGCGGCCCCAGACGGTCTCGAGGCACCCCCAAGACGCCGTCCAGGGGTCTCTGGCGACGCACGATATGTTTTAAATTGCCCTGAGGCCCCCAAGACGCCCCAAGAGGCCTTTAGGAAGCGCCCCGAGAGGGCAAAATCTAGTTTTCATTTTTTCTTTTTGCGTTCTTGCTGTTTCGTGTTTCCGGCGCTGAAGCACCGCCCAAGAGGCTCCTAAAACCGCTCCAAGACGACCCAAGAGGCCTCCAAGAGGGCCCCAAGACGGCCCAAGAGAGCCCCGAGACAGCCCCAGAGCCGCCCAAGACGGCACAAGAGGGTCCCAAGAAGGCCCCAACAGGGGCCCAAGAGAGGGAACGCGAACTGAAAAATCAAGCTCTCCGCCCCAAGATGCCCCCAAGAGGCCCCAGGAGGCCCTCAGGAAGCCCCCAAGAGGCCCCACGAGGCCCCCAAGAGGTCGCACGATGCGTTTTGAACTGCCCCGGAGGCCCCCAAGATGCCCCAAGAGACCTTTAGGATGCCGCCCAAGAGCGCCAGGAGAGGGCGAAATCGTTGATTTCCATTTGTAGTTTTCAATGTTTTTTTGCATTCTTGCTGTTTCGTGCTTCTGGCGCTGAAGCACCGCCGAGGAGACTGTCAAAACCGCTCCAAGACGGCCCAAGAGGTCCCCAAGACGGCCCAAGAGAGCCCCGAGATGGCCCCAGAGCCGCCCAAGACGGCGCAAGAGGGTCCCAAGAAGGCCCCAAGAAGGGCCCAAGAGAGGGAACGCGAACTGAAAAGTCAAGCTCTCCGCCCCAAGATGCCCTCAAGAGGCCCCGAGAGGCCCCCAAGAGGCCCCAAGCGGCCCCCAAGAGGGCCCCAAGACAGCCTAGAAGAGCCCCGAGACGGCCCCAGAGCCGCCCAAGATTGAGCAAGAGGGTCCCAAGAAGGCCCCAAGAAGGCCCAGAGGGGCCCAAGAGAGGGAACGCGAACTGAAAAATCAAGGTCTCCTCCCCAAGATGCTCTCAAGAGGCCCCAAGAGGCCCCCGGGAAGACCCAAGATGCACCCAAGAGGCCCCAAGAGGCCCCCAAGAAGCCCAAAAGAGGCTCCAAGAGGCCCCAAGACGGCACCCAAAAGGCTTCAAAACTCTTTCTAAGAGGCGCCCGAAGACATGCCAAGAAGGTCCCATGAGGACTTTAAGAAGCAGTCCAAGATGCTCCGAGGAGGCTCCGAGAGGCCCCCAAGAGGCCCCCAAGCGGCCTCAAGCAGCATCCAGAAGGCCGGAAGGAGGCCCCCAAGAGCTCAGCGGTCCAGGCGGGGGCTGAACGAACATTTCCAGCCCTGGGCTCCCGGAAACCTAACAGGAAGCCCTAAGAGTTCGACCATCAAGCCTAGCTAGAACTTGAGCGCGCGCGAAGCGCGCGCGATGGTTCTAGTACTATGTGTGCGTCGCCCCGCCAGGGGCGACGCGCGCACCGAGAACTCTAATAGTATATGCGTCGTGGCGGGCGCTTTCTTGGCCGCACCGCTCGGGAAGCGATACACTATAAGATGGGTGTACTATCTGTTTCGGGCCAGACGCACGCCTCCGAGGAGGACACATAGTACTAGTATGTCTTTGTCCGTCCCATGGGTTCTTTGTCCAAAGGCTCCTCCCAGGCTCCGCGCGCCGCCCCGAACGCCCCCCTCCGCCGCACTCGCAAGCCCCGCAGGGGGGCGATGGCGGGCGCCGCGGGAGCCGCGCGTCCCGCCGCACGGCGGCCGCGCGCGTGAGGGCCTGCTGCTCGCCGAGGCTCGGCCCATGGCGACGACAACGACGCCGACGACGCCGACGACGACGACGACGACGACGACGACGACGACGACGACGACGGCGGCGGCGGCGGCGGCGGCGGCGACGACGACGACGACGAGGGCGGCGGCGGCGACGGCGACGACGACGACGACGACGACGACGACAGCGGCGGCGACGACGACGACTACGACGAGGCCTGCGCCAGCCGGGCGCGGTTGGGCCCCGCGGGGCGCCCGCCGAGGACCGCCGGGGCAGGGGCGAGGCCGTCGTTCGGCAGCCCGCGGAGGGCCGGGGGCACACGCCGCTCCGCGTCGTTGTTCCGCCTCCTCCTCCGCCTCCTCCTCCGCCTCCTCCTCCTCCTCCGCCTCCTCCGCCTCCTCCTCCTTGTCCTTTTCCTCCTCCTCTTTCTCCTCCTCCCCCTCCTCCTCCTCCGCCGCCTCCTCCTCCGCCTCTTCCTCCTCCTCCTCCTCTTCCGCCGCCTCCTCCGCCTCCCCCTCCTCCTCCGCCTCCTACGCCTCCTCCGCCTCCTCCGCCTCCGCCTCCTGCTCCTCCCCGCAGCCCGGTCGTCGGGGACCCAGGTTCTGGAGGTCCGGGGCCTCAGCGCCCGCGTGTTCGGAATCCAGGCATGGCGCCCTTCTCGGCGGGGTCCCTCCTCTCCCCGCCGTCTCTCGTCGCCTCCACCAGGAGGGGTCGTCGACTCCCAATTGCAAGGGCGCCCTCGAGGGCGCGAAGTTGTTCGCGCCTCGCGCCTCGCGGTTCGGCTCCGATTCCTCCTCATCTTCCTCTTCTCCCCTGGGAGGCGGCGCGAGAGCGCGAAATTATTCGCGCTTCGCGCTTCGCGCTTCGCGTAGCGCGAAGCGCAAAGTTGGGAGCCCTTGCAATTGGGAATCCTGGGGTTTGTGACTATTTATCCGTGAGGGTTTCGCCCGCATACCGCCGACCCCCCTTTCTTAGAGTGGAACTACAAGGGTTTATGTGGGGACTCGAGTATTGTTGAACTATTGAGGGTTTATGGTTTCGGGGACGCGGCCATTGTGTAATTTACTCGGGCTTGTGGTCTCGGGGACGCAACTATTGTGTAATTTACGAGGGATTATAGTTTCGGGGACGCGAATATTGGGTAACTTACGAGGGTTTATGGCCTCGAGGTTGCGATTATGGTGTAATTCACTACGGCCTCGGGGACGCGAACGTCATGTATTTTTACGTGTCCTACGCTACCCCAGCGAATTCTGAGAACCTTCCCAGGGCGTGGTAAAAAAGTCTGTTTGGGGCTCCCACCCCTCGCGCGGACAGCACCACGTGACAGTAAGGAAGCAAAACGCAGGACTGCAGCAGTGGAAACTGGAAGCTGCAACTGGAACAGGGAGCTGCAATCCTCGTCCTCTCAGCCTGGTGGCCCCGCAAGGGGGCCGGCGGATTCGTGCGTCCCCGGGCCTCTTTCATCTCCTGCTGACGTCTGCGCTGCTCGAAGGAGGCTGGCAGCGACCGTCGCAGGCTTGTTTTTCCCCGCGGCCTGGGTCGGGGTCTGCGGCCCCCGCGGGCGGGAAGGAGTTCAACACCCTCGCGCTGGGCAGACGGAGCGCCGCGGTTGGCGGGTGGGGGGCCCGGAGATCCGAGGATCGCCCCGCCGGGCGAGGCTCGGGGCTCGCACTTCGAGTACCGAGCCCAGACCCCCCCCCCGGCGTATCGACAAAGGTCGAGAGAGGAGCGGCGCGAAGAAACGAGGTCGCGTTCGCCAACGCTGGCGCCTACGCTGCCCGCCTGAGGTTGCGCGCGAGCGCCCTCGTCTCCACTGTAGCGTGCCGCGCTGGCGGCCCGCGTGAGCTGCGGCGTAAGGTCACTGTGCCATCTCGCGCAGGAGCCGTTTTTGACCGTCGCTCAGACGGTCACCACCCACCAAACCACCCCAACCCAACCCGAAGGATCAGATTTACCCTCGATTTGCAGTGGGGGGGGGGTCGGGGAACATCGAAAAAACACGTGTGGAACCCTTACCCCCCAACCCGAAATTCGGGTCTTCGGGTTGGGTTGGGGTGGTCTGGTAGGTAGTCAGACGGAGTCCGAAGATCCGAGGATCGCCCCGCCGGGCGAGGCTCGGGGCTCGCACTTCGAGGATCGAGCCCAGACCCCCCCCTCTTCCTCCCGCTCCTCCTCCCTCCCTCTCCTCCTCCTCTTCCTCCTCCTCCTCCTCCGCCACCTCCCCCTTCTCCTCCTCCTCCTCCTCCTCCTCCTCCTCCTCCTCCACCTCCTCCCTCCTCCTCCTCCTCCTCCTCCTCCTCCTCCTCCTCCTCCTCCTCCTCCTCCTCCTCCTCCTCCTCCTCCTCCCCCCGCTCGCGCCCGACGAGCGTGCACGACGCGCACGGGGCGCTCTGGGGGTCGGCTGCGCTGGAGACCACCCTGATCGGGGGGCACTGCAGTCTGGCAGGCCCGAGACGAAGGTGTATCGTGCCAGAGCAGTCTGGAATGCCCGCGGAGCGTCGCAGAGCGCTCCGGGACGACCGCGGCGCCCGCTGCTTACAACCTCTGTGCCCGCTGGCTCTTAGAGAGCATCTCTGCCAGATGTCGCATCTTTGCCCGACTTGGTCTTCCTCCGCACTACAGTCAACCCGCATAGTAAGGATTGGCAACCATCCCAAGGGTACCCTTGCATCCTTGCCCCTCCTCGGTCCATCCTTGGCCACTTTTGTTGGCCAACGTCGTTCGTAAAACGTTCACATGGCCCCCCGAGGCCCTTGCATCCTTATCGCGCATCCTTGTGATACGAGCTGACTGTTCTTCTCATGCAGGCTCAGGGGCAACGACAGATGGGGACTGTCTCAGCGGGGCATCGATCCCCCATCGCCCATTCAGCGCCGACGGGAGTCTGGTATACCCCCCCTCTGCCCAGGAGCGTGTGGCTTCGCTGTCGAGGGCCCGATCGCCGTCCCGTCGGCGATTCGTCGCCCGCCCGCCAGAGTCGCCCAGACCAGGGATCGGGGGAGATGGCTGTGGAACCGTGGCGCCCGAACAGCGCTGGGTGTTCGGCACCGCAGCTCGACGTCGCGGCGATCAGTTTTCCACCCCGCTCGCGCGCCGTCCTGCGCGAGGACTGTGTCTGCCTGCCTGCCTGCCTGTCTATTTCGCGGGTGGACAGACCTCCTACCCTGACACGTCGATTAGTGAATTGTCCTTTTTCGGTTCTCGAGACGTCGCCGCGGCCGTTATTTTCCAGGCTTGCGCCCGCCAGGTTTGGGCCCGAGGTCGTTTTCACTAAACCACGTTTTACTAGAGGGAGGTCTGTCCATCCCCGACTATTCGTCTGTCTGCCACAGTCGCTGAGACCAGGGATGCTGGAGCTCACCACCCACCAAACCAGCCCAACCCCACCCGAAGGCTCAGATTTGCCTTCGGTTTCCAGTGGGGGGGGGGGGTCGGGGGACACCGACAAAAACACATGTGGAACCCTTTTACCCCTCCCCCAACCCGAAATTCGGGTCTTCGGGTCGGGCTGGGGCGGCCCGGGCTTCGGCAGCCCGTGCCCCCGTGAGGGGTTGGCTCTCTCGGGCGCCCTCTGCGAGGCCTCGCCGCAGCAGGGGCGCCGCGGCGTGCTGCGGCTCGAGATCTGCCCGAGACCCGCCCGAGGTCGGCTGGCCTGGACAGCTCGAGCGAAGGACCCCGCCTGCAGTCCAGTGGCTGAAATAAGGACCGGTGTGGGTTTAGGATTGGGTCGGGGCCGTCCCCCTACAGGGATATTCCGAAATAGTGAAAAAATTGTCAGGGGACGATGTTTCGATGATCTGTTTGACTATTCTAGGGTATTTTTGGGCATGTTTCATTTTTCGGCCAGAATCGGCCTGTGGGGGGACAGGCCCGGCCTAAGTTCAGGAGCAGTGACATCTGGCTTTACTGAGCAGTGAGTAGCATGGGTTGCACGCCTTCGGCACTCTATGCCTTGCTGTCGCTCCTCCTCCTCCTCCCTTTCCATTGTTTCGCCCTCCTCGTTCACCAGCGGCCCGGCGGCCCCCTGCTGCGCCCGCGCGGCGCCTCGACGCAGGCCGCTGTTCGCTGCTCGCGGTGGGCTTTTCGTGGGTCTGGTGCAGATCACTCAGAGAGCCGTGCGGGCCTCCGAACGTCAATTGCTGGGCCTGTTTTCCACCACCACCACCATAAGTTGGAGGGGGAGGAGGAGGAGGAGGAGGAGGAGGAGAAGGAGGAGGAGGAGGAGGAGGAGTAGGAGTAGGAGGAGGAGGAGGAGGAGGAGGAGGAGAAGGAGGAGGACCCCCTCCCCCTCCAACTTATGGTGGTGGTGGTGGTGGAAAGCAGGCCCATCATCAGTATTTGTTCAGCTTTTTTCTTTCTCGATCGTCTCCATCGCTCTCAAGAGCAGACCAGGCCCCCCCAGGGGCCATCGGGACGCTGCTCGGCCGGGGCAGACTCTCCGCGCACTCCGTTCATGCCTCGTCCTCGTCCTCCTCCGCCCCGCAGCCCCCCCCCCTCCTCCCCATCCCTCCCTGCCCGCCCCACCTCTTCTTCCCCTTTTTCCCCTCGCTCATGGCTTCTCGCGGATGACTATGGAGGAAGCCGGTCCTGAGGCCCTGCGATCCGGGCGTTGCATTTGTTCCACCGTCGGGGGTTGCTGAAGGTGCTCCTGGCCCAATGTGCCCCCGGCTTTTCGCTTCATTTTGGAGTCCCTGGGGACCACTGGGCCTCGTAAGGGGTGCTCTGGAGGCCGTGGGGGCCTCCCTTGGAAATCCTGGGGGCACCTTTGGCCAGGGGCGCTTCCAGCAACACCCGACACTGCGGCATTTTTTCCACTGCGGGCGATTTTGCGACGCTTCGGGTTGGGTTTGGGAGCCACGCGGATCCCCTCCTCCGCCGACCTAGACTGAGGAGCTGCTGCGCGGCTTGCCCAGTTCGAGACGAGTCAGTGGCCACATGTGAAGCCTACCCCCACTCCCCCACGACTTCTACGGGTGGGTTGGGGGTTCACTTCGTTCGGGAGCTCCCGAGCGGAGTGAACCCCCACCCCCCCTGGCGCCCCTGGTCATGGCATTGTTCGTCCCCGATGACGGGTCCTGCCTTGTTACTTGGTCCGCGGGCACCCCCGCGTGCGAGACGGTCAGGCGCTGGTCAACGAAGCGAGCGGTGGGGTGCACCGAGAGCGAGGAGAAAGGCCGGTCAAAGCGAGCGGTGGGATGCACCGAAACTGGGCTCGTTTCGATTCCTCCGATTCGATTCGATCCGATCTCGCTGGATTCCGACTCCGACTCGATTCGGTTTTGGTATCCCGATTTGGGCTCCGGTCTCTTCTTGGAGGCATACGAGCCTGCCGATTCCCGCCGATGCGACTTTTCCCGACTCGGCTGCCGATTTCTTCCGATCCGATTCATTTCGATGGCCGATCCCTGGCATCGCTCGGACGTGTGCATTTTTTCTTCGGCGAGGATCATCGAGGAGAATCCTTGATCATTTGCTGAAGAAACCACGCACGAAACCGGAAAAAAACACAGGGAATGGACGTCCGAGCGATGGCGAGGATCCGACTTGTCGATTCGGTTCTGGTTGATCCTGCCGAAGGCGAAACAACAAGGCACGCAGCGAAAGAGCGAAGGGGGCGAGAAGAGGCACGGACGCGGCCCCGGATCCGACCGTGCAGGCCGGCGGCACGGGAGTGCCGGCGAGGTACATGCCGCTGCGCCCGAGCCACTTCTCGCCCCCTTCGCTCTTTCGCTGCGTGCCTAGTTGTTTCGCTTTCGGCAGGATCAACCAGAATCGCATCGACAAGTCGGATCGGCAATCGAACAAAAAAACATGCCGCTGCGTCCGAGCAGCAGGGCCGCCAGCGTGAGGCGGTAGACCCATGGTTGGTCCGGGCCTGTGCCACTACAGGAGGAATATCCAAAAATAGTCAGAAAATAGTCAGGGGACGATTTCCCGACTATTTTTGACCCTTCGGAGGGTTTTTTCCCTACCTAGGCACTGCCTAGAAGGGTTCTTACTCTCTTAGCTTAAAGGGGCTGGGCAGTGTAAAGCGCCCCGGGCGGTTCCCCCAGTCCCCGCCCCGCGGTTCCCCCAGTCGCGCCCCCTTAGCTTGGCTTAGCTTATCTCGTCTTAGCTTAGCTTGGCTTAGCTTAGCTTAGCTTAGCTTGGCTTACCTTAGCTTAGCTTAGCTTAGCTTAGCCTAGCTTAGCTTAGCCTAATGTAGCTTAGCTTAGCGTAGCATAGCATAGCATGGCATAGCATACCACAGCATAACATACCATAGCACAGTATTGCATAGCATAGCTTAGCATAGCTTAGCATAGCGCCCCCTTAGCTTGGCTTAGCTTATCTCGTCTTAGCTTAGCTTGGCTTAGCTTAGCTCGGCTTAGCTTAGCTTAGCTTGGCTTACCTTAGCTTAGCTTATTGAGTTTAGCTGTGGCTTAGACTTAGCTTAGACTTAACTTAGCTTTAGCTTAGATTTAGCTTAGTTTTAGTTTAGTGTTAGCTTAGCTTTAGCTTAACTTTAGTTTAGCCTTAGTTTAGCTTTAGCTTAGCTTCAGCTTAGAGTTAGCTTAGCTTTAGCCCAGCGTTAGCGCAGCTTTAGTTTAGCTTTAGCTTAGCTGTCGCTTAGCCTAGCTTAGCGTTAGCTTAGCTTTAGCTTAGTTGTTGCTTAGCTTTAGCTTAGCTTTAGCTTAGCTTTAGCTTAGCTTGAGCTTAGCTTTAGCTTAGCGTTAGCTTAGCTTTAGCTTAGCTTACTGTTACTACTAATGCTGCTTTCCTAGGGGATCCAACTCCTAGGTAGGGTCGCACTGGGATAATTTTTTGACTATCTTTGATTTTTCGTAAAACAACCGCCTGTAGGAGGACATTCCCGATCTAACCCTATGGCCGCCTCCGAAGTTGGCCGGTCCCCAGGGAAGGGGCCCGGGCCTCTGGGAAGCCAGGCCGAGACAAGCTAACATCACGGCGTCGGACGCAGCGCCGTCCCCCCCAAGGATTACCCATGGGCAGCACAATAGCACACAGTAGCATCACAATCACCATCATCATCACCATCACCATCACCATCACCATCATTATCATCATCATCAGCATCATCAATATCATCATCATCATCAACACCATCATCATCACCATCATCCTCATCATTACCATCGGCATCATCAGCATCAGCACCGGTATCACCAGCATCATTAAGATCACCATCACCATCATCATCATCACAATCATCATCATCATCATCATCATCATCATCATCATCATCATCAACATCATCATCATCATCATCATCATTGTTCCCATCATCACCAGCACCATCATCACCAGGATCATCATCATCACCATCATCAGCATCATCATCAGCAGCATTATCAGCAGCATCATCACCATCATCATTATCATCATCATCTCAATCACTATCATCATCAACATCATCGTCATCATCATCACCATCATCATCACATTTATTCCGATCAGCATCATCATCACCACCATCATCGTTCCCTCCTTCGTCCTCTTCTTCTTATTTTTTTTCGTATTGGTCATCACCATCATCACCATCATCATCATCATTATCATCATCATTATCATTCTCATTACCATCATCGTCAATATCATCATCATCAGCATCATCGTTGACGCCATCATCACCATCACGTCCTCAACAGCATCCTCATCACCAACATTATCAGCATCATCATCATCATACGCAGCAGCATTATCACCGTCATCTTCATCACAATCGCCATCATCATCATCATCACCATCATCATCACCATCACCGTAATCATCATCACCACCAGCATCATCACCATCACCGTCATCATCATCACCATCATCATCATCATCATCATCATCATGATCATCATCTGCAGCATCATCAACATCAACATCAACACCATCTTCACTTTCATCATCATCACCATCATCATCAACTTCGTCATCGCCATCATTGGTACCGTCATCATCAAGAACATCATCATCATCACCATCGGCATCATCAGCATCACCACCAGTATCACCATCATCATCAAGCTCACCATCACCATCGTCATCATCATTATCGCAATTATCATCATCATCATCATTGTTCCCATCTTCACCAGCACCATCATCACCAGCATCATCATCACCATCATCAGCATCATCAGCAGCATTATCAGCAGCATCATCATTATCATCATCATCTCAATCACCATCATTGTCAACATCATCGTCATCATCATCACCATCATCATCACCATCATCCCGATCAGCATCATCATCACCATCATCGTTCCCTCCTTCGTCCTCTTCTTCATATTTTCATTCGTATTGGTCATCACCATCATCACCATCATCATCATCATCATCATGATCACCGCTCCTACTCGAAGCTCGAATCTGCGCTGGTGCCTCCCATTGGATCGGCCCCCTCGAAGCCCTCTCGCCAGGCGGTCGCCGGGGGTCGCCTTGTGAGGCTCCTCCTGCTCCTGCCTCTCCCCCTCCTGTTCCTCCTCCTATTCCTCCTCCTCCTCCTCCTCCTCCTCCTCCTCCAACCCCTTCCCGCCCGAGGATGAGCCTCTCCACCAGCTTCGGCGTCCTCTGCCAGGTCCCGCGCCGCGTTGGCCACCTCGGCGATTTGCGCGGGCCCCCAGCTCAGGCCGCCCCAATTGGGCCACGGTGCACTACACCTTAGGCGATGCTTAAGAAAACTTAAGTTTTCGGCCAGAGTCTCGATTATTCTTAATGTTTCAATGTAAATCCCAAGATTTTAATAGACATGTTGGGTTTTTATTCAAGTTCTGAGACTATGAATTTCTTAACCCATGATTTCTTAAGCATTTCGCAGGGTGTAGGTTCGTGTCGTGGCGGCTCGGCGGAGAGCCCGCTGCGGACGTGGAATGTTAAACGCCGCTGGTGGCCCAGCATCGGCGAATCTTCAACGATCTGGCGATTGAAAGGTTGCCGATGGTTCAAGGTTGAACGATTCACGCGGTGTCGGAATCCAGCGTCAAGGTCGTCACGACCACAGGGCCGACGCATCGGCGATGCGGCACAATCTGGAGTTGGATTCTCTCCATCCCGACGTCGCCAGTGTATCGCCGATGCAGCGCCGATGCAGCGCGATCCTCCGACCCCACCTGCTCCAGCCCAATGTGGGCAGCCTCTCCGTGGAGTGGGGTGGAGGGCAGTGTTGACCTTTTTTCAGGAGGTGAAAAACACACAGACACAAGTAATCGTCGATTCCCGGGAAGATATGCGAAGATATGGGAAGGGGGGGGTAAGACGAAAACCCAGAACATATTGGAAAATCTTGGGAATCTTGCTATTTGTGTCTATTTATTTGTGTGTCCCAGGGCCCCTTCACTTTAATTTGTCACCAGGGGTTCTCCCTGGAGAGCAGAGCTCGTGCTCTCGCGGCGAGGCGCGGCTCGAGAAGCTGGTCGCGACAGTGCCTGCCGAAATCCATCAGTTCAGTAATCTTCGCCTCCCCAGTCGCCATGGAGACGCTCAAGGGCCAAATCGCTGAACTGAAGGACCTCAGGGTGCGTATATCATGGCGTGGGCCATGATATTTCCCCAGATTTCATGGCGCCTCTTCTCATTTCATTGCGTCCCTGGCCCCCCCGCTGGGCCGCGCACACACCGCCGGTCACCATTTGCACCCCCCCCTCTTGGACACCCCCCTCTTGGCCGCTTCCGAGGGATGTGTCAGCTTTGGCATCGGGCGCCTCGACGGAGCGGCAGGACCGCCAAGCTGTTGGACTGCGTGTTCTCTAAGCACTGGTGGGAACGCTTGGGGCACCACTTGTGGGAGGAAGGGGGGGTAGGAGGAGGATGAGGAGAAGGAGGAGGAGGAGGGAGGAGGAGGAGGAGGAGGAGGAGGAGGAGGAGGAGGAGGAGGAGGAGGAGGAGGAGGAGGAGGAGGAGGAAGAGGAGGAGGAGGAGGAGGAGTGCGCGAGGGATGGGGACGCTGACAGCGCGAAGTGAGACAAGTTTTTCGAGCTTTCCCAGAAGACACAGCAAACTTCTCAGAAGGCGCCATGACTTCTGAGAGGTCCCGCCGCCTTCTGGGAAGGCTTCCTTCTCATTGCCCCCCCTCGCTCGCCGCCGACTCTCAGGTCTGCTCCATCCAATCCTTCCCTCCATCTCCTCACCTTACCCGCCTTCCACTTCTCCTCTCGTCTCCCCCCGTCCACTCCCCGCCTCTTCCTTCTTCCTCTCCTCTCCTCTGCTCTCCTCTCCTCTTTCCTCTTTCCTCTTTCCTCTTTCCTCTCCTCCTGTCCCCTTCTGTCCCCCCCCTCCCCATCCGGTCCCCTTCCCTTCCCTCCCTCCGTCCCACCTTCTTGCCCCCTCCCCATCACAGGTCGACTGTGCCGCTGGCCCCGGCTCCGCCGGCAGGGGCTGCGGTGGCGAGCTGGACGAGGATGGAGACTTGGACGAGCCTCTGGAGGAGCCGCGGGCAGAGGGGGCAGGAGGAGCGAGGAGCAGGGAGGGCGCGCGCGGTGTGCAGAGAGCGAGGAGGGTGGACTTGGAGGGGCAGGAGGGGGATGCTGGGAGGTGGGGTCGTAGAGGGAGGAGGAGGAGGAGGAGGAGGAGGAGGAGAGGAGGAGGAGGAGGAGGAGGAGGAGGAGGAGGAGGAGGAGGAGGAGGAGGAGGAGGAGGAGGAGGAGGAGGAGGAGTAGGAGGAGGAGGAGGAGGAGGAGGAGGAGGAGGAGGGAGGAGGAGGAGGAGGAGGAGAGGAGGAGGAGGAGGAGGAGGTAGGAGGAGGAGGAGGAGGAGGAGGAGGAGGAGGAGGAGGAGGAGGAGGAGAGGAGGGAGGAGGAGGAGGAGGAGGAGGATGAGAGGAGGAGGAGGGGGGGGGAGGAGGAGGAGGAGGAGGAGGAGGAGGAGGAGGAGGAGGAGGAGGAGGAGGAGGAGGAGGAGGAGGAGGAGAGGAGGGGCAGGTGGAGGTCTCGCGGAGCAGGGGGCAGAAGGGCGCGGGGCAGAGGCAAGGGGCAAACGGGGCTGGGGGCCCTGCGGAGGGGAAGTGGTTAATCCTATGCCATGGGTTCTCAATACGTCTCTACCCTCTTTGAGGCATCAAGCTGTAAGCACACACGCACACACGCTTGCCCCTGGTGCAGTATGGCCGTCGGGTAACTCAAGAGGGTCTGGGGGATGCGGGCGGGAGAGAA